TGAATGGCCGGGTCGTGAGGCATGGCTTGGCTTGACCCACCTGAGGATCGAGCAGGCGCCTTCTGACCATGCTTCCTGCTCACCACCTTCACCCGCGTGGCTTTTGTGTTTCCTTGCAGTTGCACATGGGGAAGCAAGCGGAAGAGCAGCAGAAGTACGGGGAGAGGGTGAGTAAAACTGGTGCCTTCTGAAAGCTAACCTGCCCCCCCCACGGGGGTGGGCCAGACAACCCCCCAAAATGGTGGTGGACCTCCAGGGGTGGGTCCCTCTTCTGGCAGGTGGAGTTCTCCAGGCGGATCCCAGGAGGTCTCATCCCAGCTGAAGGGTTAGAGCAGAACTTAGACACGTTAGGTTTTTTTTGTGTTCTAACTCCCAGCCAGCATGGCCAGATGGAAGAGAGATTCCACCTGAATCTCAGGAAGAACTTCCAGACGGTCAGAGCTGTCCAGCAGTGGAATACAAGGCTGCCTCGAAGGGTGGTGGAGTCTCCTCCTTTGGAGGTTTTTAAAGCAGAGGCTGGATAGCCGTCTGCTGGGAGTGCTTCGATGGATGTTCCCGCATGGCGGAGGTGGGGGGGGGTTAGGACTGGATGGCCTCAGTGGGCTCTTCCAACTCTATGACTCTTATAACCGTGTAGTCCAAAAGAGGAACTTCTCCAGGTTGTGGATTAGGGTTTATGGATGGGAGCCCAAGAACCTCGTTGGGGGCGTGAAGGGCTTCCGCCTGGTGGGTAGCATTTTTGATGTTTTTTCCTGGTTGAAAAAAATAGCCTCCTGTAAAAAACAGCAGGGACGTCGTGGCGCTGCGGGCTAAACCGTAGAAGCCTCTGTGCTGCAGGGTCAGACGACCAGCAGTCATAAGATCGAATCCACGCAACGGAGTGAGCGCCCATCGCTTGTCCCAGCTTCCGCCAACCTAGCGGTTCGAAAGCATGCAAATGCGAGTAGATCAATAGGTACCACCTCGGTGGGAAGGCAACAGCGTTCCGTGTCTAAGTCGCACTGGTCATGTGACAGTGGAAGATTGTCTTTGGACAAAACGCTGGCTCTATGGCTTGGAAATGGGGATGAGCACCACCCCCTAGAGTTGTACACGACTGGACAAAAATTGTCAAGGGGAACCTTTACCTTTAAAAAACAGCAGATGGTGCCGGGTAGGCAGAACAATGATGATGGAAGAAGGAATGTGCGGCAGAGAAGGACAATCTGGGTTTTTTCGGTTTTTTGGTTTGTTTTGGAAAAGTGAATCCTGCTTGCCCCTCATTGATGAAGGTGACGGAGACTCCAGCCGTGATAAGTGAATTGACCGCTGTTCCCCACCTTCTTCTGTTGGGCTTCTTTTTTGGTGGCCTTTTGTGAGGAGCCCACTTCAGACGCGCCTGTTTTAAAGACGACGCGAGGCGGACTCAGGCGTGGTTTGTGCTTTTGTGTGCGTAGCGCAGAGTGAAAGGCTTGGCTACTCTAAAGCCGAGTTCGGCACGGATGCTATTAGGGCGCAGGTGCCTTCCTCCCGCGTCACTGCCAGCTCTCCTGACCAGAGCTGCTTCAAGGGGCCAGTTCATCATCTTCTGGAAGATGGGAGAGTCGCCCCGCCCTGCTGTGAAACAAAGCCAGCTTAGAAAAGGGCCTTCGGTCGACTGCCTCTCTCCCTCTTTTGCAGGTCGTCTATTTCCAGAGTGCTCTCGACAAGCTGAACGAAGCCATCAAGCTGGCCAAGGTACAGATCCTGGTCCTGCTCATTTTCCACAGTTGCCTTGGAAGACACTCAGTCGGGAACTGAGCAGTGGAAAGGTTTTGCCTGTCTGTGGCTGCAGACATCATGTTCCACAGACGGGTGAAACGGGAACAGATGTGCATACCTTTGGGCTTTGTTTTCTTTTGCTGAACTGATCTATTATATAGTAACAGTTTTTATCTTATCTGTTGCGAGCTACCCATAGTAGACAATTTCTAGATGGTCTGCATATAAGTGCAATAAATAAATAAATCTGGAAAGCAGGCCCTTGGTACCAAGGTGAGCTTCATCTGCTCCCCTTCCCCAGACCCCTTCCATCTGTAGACACACCTGAACGCAAAACTGGTGGCTCACAAAGAACATTCTTAAAAACTCAAGCTGGGGAGTGTGCTGGTTTGTTTGAACCTACAGAACCAATAACCTCACATAGCTAGTAGAGGAAAGAGCTGAAATGGGAATCTCCTAAAATTGGGGGGTGGGAGGTTTCCAGACTTGGGAATGTCGTTCAATTGCAGTTCCCAGACTCCTTGACAGTTGGTCGAGGTGGGCTGAGGCTTCTGGGAGTTGAAGTCCTACACCATCTGGGCCCCTGGATCAGGAGCTGTTGCCCGAGGGGGCTGCTCTACCTTGTAAACGAGACGTGCCATTAAATCTGATTTGACCTCCATGCCACTTCCCCGCAGGGTCAGCCTGAAACGGTGCAGGAGGCCCTGAGATTCACCATGGATGTCATCGGAGGAAAGTAAGTCCGTGCCAGTCACTAATTCTTCTGGGGCGTTTTGAGTTATAGTGTCTTAAACACACCATTCTTTCCCCAACGGTAACTTTGCACTGAGAGAGCCTCCGTTGTATGAAGAAAGAATGGCATGCTTGGTGCCATTTATTAAATCTAGTCCTGCAGAACCCCACAAATCTGCGGGACATGGGTTTCAAGCCCCACCCCTGCAGAGGCTGGAAAACACGGGTTATTGCGAATGCTATTTTAATAGCAAACCCTATACATAGCCTAATATTTTCAGACTGTGAATAGGTGAATTAGGGGGTCCCTACTGTATTTTCAAATCCTTTTGGAATAGTTTACAAAGATGGGGAGTGATAAAGGAGGGAGAGGGAGGGAAGCGGCATGCTGTGAGGTCCGCTCAAAAGATGTGACGGTCCCCAGCATTTGACCCCTGGACGCTTGGCGGCTGGTTGTTCTCTGCAACCCCACAGACGATAAGCCTGCTGCTTGGATGCCAACTGGCTAGATTCCAAAAGCTACACCGCCCGATTCTGCATTTGAGCAAGGCACCCATGCAGGCCTGCTGGTGTTGCTTTGGGTTCGGGAGAGAAGGAGGTGCTGGCTGGATCCTGCCCTTTCCAGATCCTCCGCTTGACCTTAATGAGTTCCTTCGCTGCACCAATCCTGCCCTCCAGCCCGTGGCATCTCTCAGCTGCTCTGTCTATGGCTTTAAGAGTTTTCTGACCCAGGGGAGCGCAGTCTTCCAATTCAGCAAATAAACATGCGCAGGGTCTCCACTTCCCTGCCTGAGCTACCGGACCCTCCGGGGTCCTCGTTCTCAAGGGAAGCCTCTCTGTCCTTTGGCTCCTCTGCAGGTACAATTCGGCTAAAAAGGACAACGACTTCATCTACCACGAAGCTGTTCCTGCTTTAGACACCTTGCCGTCGGTGAAAGGTGAAGGGGCCCCAGCGTCCTGCCCGGTCCTCAATGCCTGGCATGGGGTGGGGGGGTAGGGGGTGGGAGCTGCCTCAAGATCGCCATTTAGCCCCAGGGCTTTGAGACAGGACAAGCCACCAAGGGTAAGGGCCGAGAGGCAGTGCGACGGCGGGTCATCATCTCCTCTGGCCCGAAACCCAGCTAGCTTTGAAAAACTCTGGGTCCTCCTCGGTGGGTCGTCTCCTGCTCCAACGGGGGAACCTTCTGCAAATTGGGGTGACTTTGCTGCCTTGTGTAGCCTTCCCGCCAGTTAATATTTGATTCTTTCCTCTACTCTTTTTTTCTCCCCTCCATCTTGGGGTACTGCTATTTGACGTAATAATTTCTTTTTGTTATATTTTTACTTGTTTCATGTGTTTGTAAGCCGCTTAGAGTGGTTGCAAGACCAGATAGGTGGGATATACAGTAAATAGAATAAATAAACTGTGCAGCCTCTCAGTGAAGTAAGGGATACTCCGCTGGACGGAGACGGCCGTGGGATGATAAGAACTAAGAAGCAGAAGCACCTACTTGCCGATCTGGCCAAGCCTCTCCTTTCGGCCCCTGTGTTTGCACTCTGTCTGGGGAGCCACTCAATTGTCCTGGGGAGGGAAGTAAGCAGCCCTCCCTCAGTGTGCCTCAGGGTCCATTGAAAGGGCCTGCCTGCCATCTCTGGAGAAGACCTGCTGTGCTGAAGTCCCTTGGTGGCGGATCGGGCCGTGTCGAAACGTCAACTGGGAATTGGGGGCCGGGCCGGGCGTCGACGGAAGAGCTGCATTCTTAGCTCACCGTGCAGGCGATGAGAGGTCGCCTGTGTCACCAAAAGGGTTTGTCTTCCCAAACCGAAGCCTCTGGCGCGCCTCTCTCCTCGCCCTGCTGAGGAAGGAGGAGGTTGGCTAAAGTCACAACGCCTCCAGGGTAACCTTTCCTTGGAGGAGACGGCTCCACCCTGTGGCCTTTTTTTCCTGGTGCCATGCCTTTTCCACCTCTCGGAGTTGGCAGTGGTGTCCCCCATGCCCGTCCTGCGGCCCGCTCTTTTTAATCACAAGTAGGAGTAAAGGCTGGGACCCCTACCCCTACCCCCTGCCTTGTTTTGTTCGGATTCAGCTTGAAATGGTTGGTTGAAGTAACGGCTTGGGCATTGTTAACACTTTTCAATAACACACAGATTTAGAAAAGGAGACCTTTTCCTCTCCTGCCGGCGATTTACTGCAGCCCGTTCAGCGTGCCCTCGCTGTGGCTGCAAGGCCTGGAAGCTCCTCCCAGAATTGTCCCCCTTGCCCAGGTGTCCCCAGGTAACCGGGTCATAACAGCCTTGTCCAACTCTCCTCCTCCTTCCTCCCTCCCCCCCCCGCCAGGTGCACCTCTGGTCAAGGCCCTTCCCGTCAACCCCACCGACCCGGCCGTGACAGGCCCGGATATTTTCGCCAAGCTGGTTCCGATGGCTGCCCATGAAGCCTCGTCCCTGTACAGGTGGGTCACCCGGTCCCTGTTACCTGACCTTACCGTTGCCTTTGGGGCGCCTGCTTGACCTGGCCGTGGTGCGCAAGAGGATGGAGCAGGGGAGGGAGGGAGGGAGGGAGACATGGGCAGTCTGCCTGGGAGGATAGTCTCTGGACGGGAGGGGCTGGGTCCCAAGGAGGTGTCGCTCGATGCCTGTTGAGTGTGCGGGGTCATTACCTCCTTTTGGTGCAAGTGTGAGCGAAGGCACACCCACCCACAGACTGGCCTCAGGCCCCACAAAATAGGAATGGTGGAAGCCCTCAGAGGAGGGTCCTGTTGATGCTCAGCGGCTGTTTTCTTTTCCTCTCTCAGTGAAGAGAAGGCCAAGCTGCTGAGAGAAGTGATGGCAAAGATTGACGCCAAGAATGAGGTTCTGGAGTAAGTCTGTTCCTGGATTTGAGGGGCGAGGAAGAGGGAAAGGGAGCCGTGGCAGGCAGGAGGCCACGGAGGTGGCTGGGGTGTCGATCGTGGAGCCAAGGCCGAACCCCAAGCTCCGTGGTAGTGGTGGTCGTGGTGGAGGAATCCCTTTTGAAGAGCATGGCCTTGGAAAGTGTGGCAGAAGGGCCGGGCTGGGGAGGGGGGCCAAGAAAGCCCCACCGGGGCCAGTGATGGAAGGGGGAGAAACAGCAGACTGTCCGTGGGGGCTGCCTCTCCCTCTGGCGAAGGGGCGGCTGGTGTTCGCACAGCAGTGCCCGAGAAGGTTTGGGTCCCTCTGCCCCTTCGTGCCCTCCTCTGCCCTGTCTGACGCTTGCGACACCTTGAGCGGAAACGATCTATAGGCAGTCCCTGGAGAATGGGTGGTGGGGTTCCTGCTCGGTGGCCTTTGATTGCCACCCACCCCTTTCCCCCAAAGGGTGGGAGCCCCCCCCTCGAGGCCTGCCCCTTCTGTGCGCCCTTCTCCTCTGTGACCGTCTCACCATCCTGTTGGGGGGGTCGTGTCGGCAGGGAGGGCTTCTGGCACCGGAGGGGGCCTCTGCTGGGCGATGGGGTTGGATCCTCTGCGCGGGCGACCGTTGTGATTCCACCCCTTGGCAACTGCGGTCCCGGTGGGCCTGGACGGGGTGATGTTTTCCACCTGCCAGCTCCTTCCTTCTGGCAAAAGGGTAGCTTTGCACCCACCTGTTCTGTTGCACGGCCGGGGCAGCCTCAGTGGATGCCCTGGTGCGCAGGAGTGGATGCTGCAGCCAGCAGATCCTCCTGCTCGGCTGTTTCCTGAAGGCCATTTGGCCTGTCCGTGCAGAAGAACGGGGATGCTTGAATGTCCATTAAAAGAGGATGATGGGAAGGGAAAGCCCGGGGCTGTCTTTCAACTCCAGCAGGTGCAGATACCAAGAAGAGGGGCTGTTTCAGGTCCTTTGAGGCCAGTGGGGGAGAGACAAGACAGAGGACGGTGGACACAAACGG